AAAAAGAAAACGCGCCCGGGGGGGGGGGGTCCGTGGAATTGAATACACAGAATTTAGGGCACAATGGGAGGCCTGGTTCGCACAGTACCTGGTTAAACTGTATAACTTGCCACACGGATTGAGTGTAAAACTGAGGAATGCAGCTGGCAGTGGCTCCTCGTTGTTATAGGTATGTGTTACCTCCAGGATAATTCCTTCTACAAAGAGCTCATGGTGGTGTCCAGACGGTGAGTACTAAACTGTGGTGTTCAGGCTGCAACTTTTGGGGTCTCCTGACAATGGGTATCATTCCTTTTACATCATCTATGGGGGTAAGCCTAAAGGTTGAGCAGAATATCTTTCCTGTTTCCCCTCAACTGTTTCTTTCTGACTGCTTACATTTCAGAGGATGTCCACATTTGTGATGCAGAGCATGGCCTTTCTTCAGTCCTCTTCCCCTGTTCCAGGATCCCGGGTCTTTGTGAGTGGAGACCTGAAGCTTCATCAGAGGCAGCCACTTAGCCATGCTGGGCTGGACAACAGATACAATGTGAGCACCATTTCCCTCTTGTTTTGGCTTCCATTGCATTGCCTCCTGTGATGTCTTTTCCAGGGAAGATGTGGCTGAAAGAGGTACATAGAACTACATGTGTGGTCCTGCTAAGGAAACATATCCTGTTGGGTGTCCAACAAGAGGTTGAAATCACAAAGCTTTAGGGGTCCTCTCCTTTTTGAAAGCTCAAGAAATGGCAGGAGAGTTTGACATTGTGGGTTTTGGAGTGGGAAAAGGAGAGCTACTGTCTTGTATCTTTCAGATCAGTGGATTTTATTAGCGTTCCTTTTTCATCAGATAGTGAACTGCTAAAGGAAATGTACAGTTTTTAAAATAAAGGAAATAGTATTCCATTCATATAGTCCACAGGGGCACCTTGGGTTGGGAATCTGCAGGGCACAAAGTTCAACCCGAGGGCATGCAATGCCAGAATGCAAGCGAGGATCCTCACTATGGAAATCCAGTTTATGATCATGGAAGGAGGCGGGACGTGTGGCTTTGAAAATCACGAGCAGTGGCTTTGAAAATTAAACCGTTCATCCCACATCACGTAGGCGAGCAGTTCACCTCAGCAGGATTCTAAGTGTCATATTCTTCGACAGCAGTTTTTAAAAAGGTTAAGCGCATCAGGCTAATCTTGCCAGATCCCCTCCAAGGGCAGCATTTGGCTTTTAGGGTGTCAAGGAGATGCCTCAGCGCAAAACCCTGAGCAGGACATGAGTACGGTCACGCCTTTCTCTTTATGCTCCTAACAAATCATACTGTGGAAGAGACACTGGAAAGTTTAGACTGTGACTGTCAGTTTTATAGGCTGTTCCTGCCCTTTCTGCGCAGGAAGGTCTCTTATCTCCTTATGTTTTCTTAAGTCATGCCTTCTGTTTGTCTGCCAGGAATTTATATTGACATACTACAGAATATTTACTGATAAAGAGAGTATGTTTCTCATTTGTTGTTACAGAGGACTTTGATCAAACATAGCAATAGAATGAATTGTTAATGGGTAAACAGTTTTGTGGATCTGCTAGGCAGAGCAGCTAGGAATTCATAAACTCACAGTGGTGGTGATTTTAACTGGATTTCTTTGTACGGGTGGCTTTTTGACCTTTATTTCTTTGTATGAATATAGCCAAAGTATACAGTATTCGATTTTTCTCAAAGGACAGTCTAAGAATTCAGAGCTCATCTAAAAGGCTTCGGCTGTAAGCAGCGATGTTTTAATTGGCTGCCACCCATTGCAGCCAGAGCATGCCTGTTGCCTTCTATTCAGGTCCCCTTATCTCCGGGGGAACTCAGAAGCATCAGCAAGGCATAGAAATCCTTGCTTGATACCATTCAGCCTGCTGGTTGAATTTGTGCTTCCTCTGATCTGTTCCAGCCTGGCTAACTCTTGTTTTCTGATCTGAAACCATCTCACTGTAACAGTTATCTGTGATCAACGGCACAAGCCCTTTTGCCCAGGACTACGATTTGGTGAACATCGTTGCTGCGTATCAGGAGAGAAACGGTAAGTCCGCCTTGTGCATCGTCCACTCCAGGTGAGCGGAGACGTGTTTGAGTGCTAATAGATGCCCAGCTGCTCTCACAAATCATTTTGGTTAATCACAACCAAGTCCTTTCAAGATGCTTGCTGTTTTCTTTTGCAGTCACAACCGTTTTTGCTGGTCCTGGCCCCATCTGGTCGGTTGGAAGAGCCCCCAGTGAGCCTTTCGTGATCCAGGCCATCATCCGCTACCCAGTAGAACTGATTGTATATCCTTTGACTGCTGGGGGCTGTGCATTGTCCCATTCAGTTACTTCTTGTCCTTCAGGAGAGCTGTGAGAGCTACTTTTGTGTTGCACACATTGAAGGTGGTACTTGCTAGGTTGCGCTCACTGGTCTGAATAAGCAGACAGAGGCTCTGGTGTTGGACAGAGAGTTAGGTATGGTAGACCTTAGGTGAATCCCAGTCAAGAATCCCATGCAGTTCAAGTAGGGATGTAACCGGGCACCATTGAAGATGGCCCAGTGAAAAGCGCATTTGATGGTCATATTTGAATCAGACTGCACCTTAGGGAAGGAAGCTTCCCTCTGATCTCCCGTTTCTTGATTGACTTCCCTGAGCTGGGAACACAATTTAAGGCCCATGTTCTTGGATTTGTGTGAAGACACTTCTTGTACTTCCAGATATTCCTTGACTGTTGCTACCTATCAGCCAGGGTTCTGGGAGATGATTAAGTTTGCTTGGATCCAGTATGTTGCCATCCTGCTGATCTTCCTTTGGATTTTTGAAAGAATCAAACTCTTCATTTTCCGGAATCAAGTGCTCACCACAGTCCCAGTGCCCCCAGTCTCCCCAGTGTTGTCCTATAAAGAACACCAGTCCTGAACATGCTCCTAGAAAGACTGGAAACAGTCACTAAAACCCAACAGGTAAAGGAAGGCATCTCACTTCTTTCCAGCTGCTTTGCATCTCAAAGATAAGAAGGCACCTGAGCATTGGAGGTCATGGGAAATTTTATCACTTACGGCAAGAACCAAGCCAATAGTACTTCTGTTCCTTCCCTCCATATGGGGAAGGGGATTCAACTTCTACGTGAGCAGCATGGGGCAGTGGGATTGATCCTGCTCTCTGTTTTGTTGCTTTTGGTTACCAGCTCAGGGGTTAAAAAACTACTTCCTCTTGCCAGTTGAAACAATTACAGCTATTACATCAACAATGGCAAGTCTGCTATGAAATGCCCTTTAAGCTCCTGCTGATGGAATGTATTCAGTGTGTTTTATGATTTCACCACTGAGTTTCCGGGTTACTGATCTGATTTCCTTGAGCCTCTTTTATCACAATTCTTCATGAAGACCTCAACACAGAGAGAGAGGGTGGGTGCATACATGCTCTTGTAAAAACCCCAAGATTTCTTCTGCAGCAGCAACATGTGACCGGAGTCTGTGAGGAGCAGAAAGGGAAGGAATGAAACTGTTCGCTTCCCAAAGGACTGCTGGCATTCCCATTTCTGACAATGTGCCTAATTGTTTTTAAGGATTTATTCCTGTATTCCACCAAAGTCTCAGGACAGCTTGCAGGAAATTGTGGTAAAAGGAATGCAGAGATGTCAGTACAAAAGCAGTCAGCGAAAACTGAACAAATACAAGAGATCAAAAGCAATTAATAAAAGACCCATTAAATGATGTGTCATGATCAGGTGCCAAAATTACATCAGGTCAGATTCTGAAAGACAGCTGGAGAAACAGAAGTGTACAAGGTAGTTACAGAAATGGAAGTGCAGCAGAACTGACAGCTCGCCCCTCATTTCCTCCTCGCCGCTCATCTGTCCGGGCGGCCCAGTCCTTCCAAGGCCATGGACTAGGACTGGTCCAAAATCCGGGGGTTGGGGGGCTCCGTATTGTAGGATCTTATGTATTATGTATGTGTTTCACTGTGTAGTACGGAACTGTAGAATTGAACACCGGCAAATTAAAAAAAAAGGTTGGAATGTGGATTTATCTGTAGGATACTAAGAATTGTTTGGACTGAGAAGCATGACTATTAGGCTGCTAAACTGTGTCTGGAGTATTGTTGCAGCTGATCATCATGAGTAAGATAAATAGGGAAAGCATTTCAGGAGGAAAGAGTTTGCTGGGTTTGGGCTGCCCTGCGGCTTCTGGGAGCAGGAAGGAGTGGCTGTTCCTTGAACCCATTGCAAAACTGCTGCAAACGTCACACACACTGGCCGAACCGTGTACTGCCAGTTAGTGGTGGAGATCCACCCCTTGGGATCCACTATGGAATTTGTGTGTTTTTTTTTTTTCTTCCTTCATCTGTGCCCCCTTTGGGGTGTAATAAATTGAGGCTGAGGTTGCCTTCGGGGACCCTTTTAGGCAAAACAAGGCGGTCACATTGCCCTGGCTTCGTGGCCCGCCTTCACTTTCCTCCTTGGAGCGGGAGAAGGGAAGGGCCCTGCTAAGGTCATTATCATTAGCAGCAGAGGGAGGCCCAACCCTGCCCCCTGCTTACCATCTGTGTGTGTGCGTGCACGCGTGCTTTCCACTATCCCCCTTTCAGCTCAACATCTGTTCCTCTTAGCACAGAGGAGTCATCAATTACCTGTTGGTTTTTAATATTGCTTTGCAACTTTTGGAGTAGACGCACAAGCAACTTTTGACCGTAAAGAGGTACAGGCGGTTTAGAAGCAGAGGTGTGCAGATTTGTGTGCTTGGAATCCCCCCCCCAGTAACTCAAATAACTTTTCCAGGCTTTTTTAAAAAAATCAGAGCTAGAGCTGCCTATGTCCTTTGGCGTCTGATGGATCCTACGCTTGCTACCACCATCTGGAGTGACCAAACAGTTTGGCGTGTTAAAAACAAGAGTCAGCCGAGACGTGATATCCCTATAGCAGCCCCCTATAGCTCCGTTCACTTTGTATTATGGAGGGACCCTCACCGGTGTGCAAGGATTTTTTTTCTATGGAGGGTCTGCCTTTTCTATCGTCACTGGAGGGCAAGGGAGCTGTAGCCCCTGTCCGGCTGGGAAAGAAGCGTGGGGGTGGTGGTGTAGGGGGTAGAGGGAAGGCCTCGGTGCCCCCTATTCTCAGCATGAATGGGAAGGCACGACACAGGGAGCCAGGGCGCGGAGGCGAGCAGATCTCCAAAGGCTGAAGTCCCATCGGGTAGAAACCCTCGATTCCACACCTTCCTGCCCGATGCGGGGCCTCCTGTATATACGTGTATATATATATTTTCTTTTCCTTCCAGCTGTGACGGTCCAGGCCGAAGTCCGCCTCTTAGAACAAGCGAGACTTCTTGCGACGCCGCCTGGAGAAGCCCCGGGCGGGGTTTAAAACGGGACCCCCCCCTCGCGCTCTCCCTCTGCCTGAGCCGTTCCTCTCGAGCAGGCCCATGCCACCCCGGTCGTTGCTTCCGACCAACCGATCAGATCAACAGCTAACCTTTTCGCAGCCGGGCCGCCGCTGCCTGCCCTCGGCTGGTACGTGGGAGGAAAGGGAAAAGAGAAGGGGGGGGAGGCTGAGCAAAATATCCTAAACTGCATTCCCTCCTCCCTTCGTTCTCTCTGAGCAAGAGCTTTAAGTAAACAAGCTTTTTACCTTCTTTTAATAAGGTCATTTGCGACATCACTTTCTTAGTGGAAAGAACATTTTGTGTTGGGTATTTTAAACAGTCCGAATGGCCTTTGCTTTTAAAGGTTCTTTGCTAACCCCCTCTATCTCAGGGAGGTGCGGAAAGGAAGCACCTTGTCTTCTGGTTGCCAGCGGTGACACCAGGCACCTAACAAGCACCTGAGGCACCCTCTTTCCCGCTCCACCCACAGCAGCCGATTTCTGTACACAAGATCACAGCTCCAGTCGCTTCGAAAGGAGGCACCTTTGAACTTTTCTAAATAACAAGGCGCAATTACCTTCAAAAGCTGGCAGCCAAAGTATGTGGTGAGAAATGGGCATCATTAATAAGAAATTAACTGCCTTCAGGGAGCAGGCAATCTATTAGCCAGTGAAGAAGACAAACATGATCTGCCGTGCTTGGCATGAGGT